TATAGGTGCATATGTGTGTATGTATGCAAACGGGCACAGTGAGGCATGGAAGCCACTGGTTTCTTGTGAACTGAGCTCATCTCGGAGCTTGGGGTTGTTCGTCAGGATCAGTCGTCGTGGCTGCTCTTTCATGTACGTTTATTTGAATGAAACACAAAGAGTTAACGGTCTTACGGTTATTTTTTTGTGTTTCTTTTTCTGTTTCTAAGGTACTTTTCATACCCTGACCCATCTCACCGGATAGCGTGACGTTCTCGGTAGGATTCAGTAGCAATGCGCTTACAAAGTCTTGCTGTAGTTATGTGATCGCAGTGCCTAGCATGACCATATCGTGCAAGACGGCGCAACACACTTACTGACGACACAAAGTATGTCGACGCTACGCGTTTGTTCGCGTAGTGTCTTGGCAAGCCATGGGAGCAATATTTTGAATGTTGCCCTCAGGCCTTCCATAGCGACATAGCCTCAACATTACTAACACTACAAAACCAATGAAATTACATAGTTGTCGTCTGTATTCCGGTTCTATAATTACACTGTCTGTAGTCACCTTCAAGAGGATGGTCTCGCGCCAGGATTCTCCAACAGTGCTGGCACAGCATTGCAGAGAGAAAGGGAAGTTTAGGCTGACGGCCATCGAAACAGAAACCAACGGAATTAATGCCGAACCACCTTTGACAACACCACCTGCGTGAAGAAGATAAGTTAAGATTTTGCCGCGCTCCTAGCTAGTGTAATGTCCACGGATAACCCATGCACTCTCCTTGGTACCACCGCATCCTGCGATTGCCCTACTGCCACTATCTGGTTTCCTTTGATCGCGACCTCGTGTTTTATGAATAGCGGTGGAATTGCAGTGCAGAGGCATTCGCAAGCGCAGAGCACAATGTTGAACATGTTTCAACTATCATATACTAACAGTTCGAGCAACTTCTGAAGTTATAGAAACAACTGACCGCTTCTGACCACAACTTCAGCCCATATTTCAGATCGACACAAAAAGGCGGCACACCATCGACAAATGTTTGAGAAATTGACAGTTACCAGCGCAGATATGTCCTTAGATACAAAACTACGACGCAGTGGCGTACATGAAATGACAGACAAAATAGTAATCTGGTGTTAACAGTGCCCGTCATGCCTCAGCATAAATTTCGAGTGGCGAACAAAGATGCTCAACGCAGGCTGTAGCAGTACAAAGGAGGCACGGCTGCCGGCTGACGCCCATGTCAAGGCCACATGTGCGTCATAGCGTACTGGTAACGTGCTTGTTGTAGGGTGGGGCTGTAACAGGGCAGGACGCAACGTCAACTATGATGCAAAGTCTCGATGCAAGCAGTGGCATTCGTGGCTTGGCGCCCGAGACCGACTTTGGGAACGCCGGTTGGAAACCGAAAAGCAAAAAGGCCCAGGGCCAGTGCATAATGAATATGCGGTCCTTGGATTATATAAGCGTCGTATATCATCTTGCCTTGCTGCCAATGGCCGCTATTTTGAAGCTCTCCACTGAAAGGCACAAAACGAGTCCAGCAAGGGGTAGCGCAGGCAGTGCTAGCCATATAAAAGCAGGACACTTCACTCGAAAAATGCTGCTGGTCTTCAGCACATCCGAAAAAGCTTGTTTGTACCCGGCAGCGACGGAAAGTTTAAGGCGAGGGCTTGCCGCGCCGAGGGCATTTAGATGTGTGTGGACGAGATAGTCGTATTCTCAGTAATTACTAGTCGTCGCCGTTGTGGTGGTAGTCCGCTGTAAAACCTTGTACACTAGGCCGCTCCATGTTGCTGGTCGTGCTTGCAAACTATGCACCACGAACTACATCGCTTTGTTCAACTCTGAAACCCTCTATACGCAGCACGCTATGTATCGTTTAGCCGTTTATACCCTAACCCTACATACTCCTCTTGCTACTGCGACTGGAACTGAGTACTGCTACCGGGCTGCTACGACGACTACTACTTCTACTGCTACCCCATTTTTTTTGCGACTACGATGACGACGACACCACCCCGACCACCACCACTACGTAGGGAGGGGAGGCCAAGGCAAAGTCTTGGTCCAGCCGAGCAGCGGGGAGGCTGGAGGACTGTGCTCGGCCATAATCACATGGCCGCAGTGCACCCTGTGCAGAAGCAGTGTCATCTCTGCTGTCTCTTTGAGTCACGATAACGATGGAAGATGGTTTGCATGTGGCATTTGGGGGTTCTACGATTCAAGTCTCGGCGTTCTTATCATCCGATGAAAGGCCCGGACACTCCCGGACAGAGATCATCACTTTACAACAGCTCACATGTCATGACCACTCAGTCTACGCTTCTGCCTGCCACAGGCATCGTTTGCCTAGGGCCTAGGCTGCACTCAGGGATCCCAGCCTGGCATCGGGCGCAGGAACTCAGCGGGCATTGTCGTCACATGACATGTTTGTAGAATTCAGCTTGCGCCTGTTCGATGTTTACCGAGCCATGTGAATAAGTTGATGCTGGCTCTTGTTCGTCATGCTTTTGAGTGCGGAGCCCTCACCTCATCCTCATTATGTCAATGTGAAGGCAGCTGGCGACTGCCTTAGCCGGCTCATTGTTGGAAGCGTCGTGAACGCTGTGAGGACTGAAGTCAAAGACAAAGCCCCAGGCATCAGTCACCACCCTCCCTCAGCGTGAACTGTGCCGATTGTGATACTCCCTCTCTTTTTCCTCTCTCTTCATCTCTCTGTCTCTCGCGCGGGCTAAGAAGTACAACTTTTGAAGCTCGGTGTCGGCGTTCGATTCTTGGCCTCCTGTCTGCCGAAGGATTCGGCATCGAGCTGACTGAGGACATCTCAGTCTTCAGCGCCATGCTTGCCAACAGGCATTTATCATTTAGCTGCATCGCCATATAGAACATATCCTAGAAGAGCCATGGAGTGGCACTCAGGGCACCGGAGCCAGAGTTTGTGATGCTGCCGGTTTCCGGGACATCATGTAAACGTACGCAAACCCTGCCCTGTGAAACCGAGATGATTCGTGAAACGGGTCCTGTGCACACACTCTCCTGGGTCCTGATGGGACTCCGAGAGACGCATGCTTTGCTGCTCCTTTGCGCAGCTGCAGCTCGATCTTGATGAGCTGCGTTCTAGTGATAAATAAAAAGAGGACTGCGCCAGGCGCCAGTATCATGCCCCACGCCGAAGACTCCTTTAGCCGGAGGTTGCAGGGATCCACTGGGCTCAGAGAGCCAAGTGACGACCGGTGTGCTCTCTTCCAAGAGCTCCCGGCCGGCTCCTGCAGTGGTTCGGCACCCGCACCCGCATCAAGTTCTGACTTGTCTTGGCCCCAAGCTCAGGGCTGCAGCAAAGCGAAGATCGAATAACAGTGAATCTCGTGCCGTTGAAGCTGAGGGCTTGTCAGTCGGTTCCGAAGAAGCTCTTCTGCGAGGCATTGAGCTTCTGGTAGTGCATGCTCTCCTGGTTGCTTCAAGATAGTAGGCCGTGGCTTGCCTGGTAAAGGCTTTTCGGTCGGCACACAGCCAAACCAGAAGCTTTCAGCATGGAGCGTCTTGAGCTTGCCTGCATGGGTGTGAGCTTCACCGTGCTGTTCCGCATGGGCAGACCTAGAGTCGCAAAGGATCAGCAGTTTCGAACGTGTCAGTGTACCAAAATAGTTCTGCAGCTTTGCTACGAATGCCTCTGCATGCATGAAGCAATGGTTTGAGTTTAGGTTCGACGCAGCATCTAAGGGGCAAGCACCCGGTGCCTTCTGCCAGGCTCATGTTCCTAAGTTGGAGACAGGGCGGTTTTCAGACTGTCACCAGCTGTCTGATCAGACCTCAGCGCATGCAGTTCTCGGATCGGCACCCCGGTGAGCCGTTCCAGGCAACCCCGATAGGGTGGCGAGGGGCCTGGCTGTGAGCTGTGTGGCACATGCATCGCGAAGGTGCACACCGCGCTACTTCGACTGCGAAGGGTTGAGCCACTTCCTAACATGCATCTCTATGCACACATAGCGCCTCACACTACAATATTTTCCTTTCGCCTTACACCAAAAACTGTGTCAGATGCTGCAATCCGAATGGACAACAGCCCCTGAGTCAGATGCTCCGAGATTGGAGAGGAATTGCCGCTGCTTCGTGACGTGGCCGCTCACCAACTGGGCGGAACGCATAGGTTCTGTGATATCCTCGCTGTCCAGAGATGCAATCAGCATGTTGCGACTTGCAAGGACGGCGCTACGCTCGGTCAGGACGAGGCTACAGCACTGCGCAAGCATCAAGCATCCAGGCGCCCTGCAACACGACAAGTTGTTCGAGCCTGGCACAAAGATTTTGACCGTGCGATTACCAAGCTTGCGTGTCTTGTCGCCGCAGTGCATGCTGACAGATATGGGCAGCTTTTTCCAGCAAGTGCTTGCTAGTCCTGATTCGGACTTGGGTATGATCTTCGCTGACAAGGGCTTGAATGAATGAATCGCTACAATCATGTTCAGCCATACAAACACCAAACACATCAAGGTGCAGCACTACGAGAACAACGATGCCCTGATAACGGAAATGACACCCATAGGAAGTGATCCACGATATTGTCTCCAATGGTGATTCTTCCCATGCGCTACCAACACGTAGACTTAAAACGCAAACTCCCAGTAGAAAATCCGACAAGAATCAAGAAGTTGAACTACCAATGAGTCTACACCTTGGAACCGGAAAGTTCGGCTTCATGGACTCAACCAATATATGCCCAGGTTTGAATTTGCAAGCCCATTAGGGGTTCCATGTAGCGGCTCTTTGGCCGCACTTTCTGCTGGCTACCAGTGCGAGACGGATATGTACAGCAGCTGGTGGCAGCCCGTCTGAAATAGATCTCAGTGGAACAGTCATGTCAGACCGATGAATTGCCGACTAAAGCATGTTAGCCCATGCAGCTGATCTCGTGCATGCGCGGCCTGGTCGAGTCTATCTGTCCGTATCTATCTTTCCACCACATGTACCTGCCCTTGCTGCCCTGGCTGCTGGCCCCAGCTCTAACCAAACATCACCGGCGGCTGGAGAGCCAAAGACCCAGCAGCACAGCGACCAGCGCTACAAAGCAGGCTGCCAAGAGGTTCCGATTCGAGACGTTGGGCGTGTCGACCGGCATCATCGGCGGGGGCCTGATCTGAAAACCATCTTCCATGTTCTTCCACCCAGCTCAGGCTATGGTATATGTCGGGCGTCCGGCCTACACAGTTGCGAAGTCAACAGGACTTCGGAGTATGCATAAACGACTGTGAGGAAAGGCTCGTGATCGCGTCAAGCATGCAATCAGGTGTCCCCTCTGGTGCATCAGGTGCAACCGGAGCGGGCCGAGCAGGAGGTTCTGCGGCATCCTCGCCAGCCTTGCGAAAAGCCACGTCTTCACATAGTCTTCGCACTACGATTAAAGCCTCATGCCGAGGCCTAGTCTCTGTTTCTCCACTGCAGCCACTGATGCCTGTTTTTTCTTCTCCTTCTCTGCTTTCAGTTTTGCCTCGAACTCTTCCCACCGCCTCGGAAGCTCAAGCTCCACAAGCTCTGCAGACCCTGTAGCACCGGCTGCGACAGTGCGGGGAAGTATCCACCAGCAAATGGAATTAGCCTCGACACAACGTATGTCATTTCACAACAAAACTGACAAACAAAAAGAAGTAAACTACAGGTGTTTTTGGGCGAGCCTTCCGGCAACTAACCGCACGTTGCGACTCATTTTCGGAAGTCATGTTACCGCGGGATCTTGAGCAGTCTGCAGAGTCGCTTCCACATGTTCAGTGCTGATAAGAAGTCATAACATTTGCCGTTTCTCCCAAGTAGCCGCGACTGACACACAACATGGTTTGCACACACCGTGTCTGAATCTTCTATACCGAGTACTGGGCTTGGAACCGACAAAAAGCATTTCCAATACTAATGATGTACTATGACTATGATGTACTACAACCAACACAATCCAGCGAGAAGTTTCCAGTACTAAAGTTGTACTACAACCGAGCACAATCCAGCCAGGACCCCAAACGAGGCATTTTTAGTGTTAACGCTGCACTACAACCAGGCACAATCCAGCCAGCTTCCCAAACGAAGTATTTCCAGTACTAAAACTGTACTACAACCAGGCAAAGTCCCGCCAGGACCCCAAACGAGGCATTTCCAATACTAAAGTTGCACTACAAGCAAGCACAGTCTAGCCAGGACCCCAAACGAGACATTTCCAGTACTAAAGTTGCACCACAACCAAGCAGACCAAGCACAATCCCCCCAAACGAAGCATTTTCAGCACCAAAGTCCCACGACAACCGAGCACAATCTAGCCAGGACTCCCGCACTAAATTCGCACGACAACCAAGCAGGCATTTCCAGACTAAAGTTATACTACAACCAAGCACAACCCAGCCAGGAGCCCAATCGAAGCATTTCTAGCACTGAGCTTACGGTTCAGGGCTGCGAATTAACCAAATAGACGCCTCGATTTCGCCACCTACAAAGCACAACAAGAAAGAGGCATTCCCCATGTACAGGCGGACCCTGGAGACATGACAACTGCAGCTCCAGAGCCTCTCCCCCCCAGTAAACGCACGTTATTACGCGTTTACTACGTGTTTCGGGGGAGTCATAATATCCAGCCGTTTCCGTAGCTAACGCTTGGGTTCAAGCATGGAGAACAAGTCCCATTTGCAAGGACAGCTCGAACCGGAAGCCGTAACATTCGCCTTGTTCCCCATGTAGACGCACGATTTCAGAAGGCCCCCGGTCCAGACACACATCACAGAGCGCGATGACTTCAGGAAAAACGTGCCGTTCCCCATGTAAACACTCAATTTCACTCAACACGTACAGCAGTAGAATCACAGCACTTCAAAACCAACCATTCCCCCAACTGGACAATCGATTTCCGAAGCACCCGCTCAAGATGCATACGGGCGCAGGGTGTGTCTCACATGTGCACCCAGTGTTCGGTACTATACCCGGCGCCGATCAGGCTGACGGAGACCGTTTTTCACCAACTACACGGCGGAACGTTACGACTTCGGTAGTGCCCGGTATGCATGAATAACAGATGAGGGCAGCACATTAAAATGACAAACAGGCTATCAAATAATGCTGTGTGCGTAAGAGCCATAAAGCATTATGAAGCCTTGTGGTATCTCGTGGTTCGAGACTGCAGTCAAAGTGGAGCAGAAACACTCAACACTTCCAACTCCCTACGCTGCTTGCTTGGGAAGGAAGCTGGAAGTGCACAATTCGCATGACTACGCAAATCGAAAGCACGCCAAGGAGCTTCTGCTGCTGGAAGTTGAGCTTGCCAGCTTCAGACAGGACCAGGGAAAGCGTCAGCCGCTTGCCCCTCAAAGAAGCACAGCATTCAATCGAACCAACTGGAACTGCAGAAAGGAGAGGGCAACTCCAATGCCCACGACTCCTACTCCTTCTCCTGTTCCTACTATTCCTAGTAACTCCTACTACTACGACGACTACTACTACGAATGCGACTACGAATGCGACTACGACGACGACGACGACTACTACTACTACTACTACTGTTTTAGCACTCGCGCTCGAGAGGCTCAGGCGAGGCAATACAAGAACAACGAAGTACTTTTTGGCTCCCAGTTGTCAGCGTCCAGCGCCCCCCGCTCTGCAGGTATTCTCGTCGGCTACGATCGCAAGCAACACACTCTTTGCACCTTCACTACTGCGACAACAGCAACAGCAACAACAACAACAACAGCAACAACAACAACAACTACTACTACTACTACTACGACTACTACTACTACTACTACTACTACTACTACTACTACTACTACTACTACTACTACTAGTGACTGCAAACACCATCACCTTCCTAACCTGTCGACCGGCTACCTGCTGCCTACTTCCAACTACCTACTTATGGCTTCTCCCTATCCCTACTCCTACTCCTACTCCTGCTCCTCCTCCTCCTCCTCCTACTACTACTACTACCACTACGACGATGATGTCGACTACTTCTGCTGGAACCTGTTCGCGGTTTTCGCGGCAAGATGCGAAACTGCACAACTACTGCGTCTTCGGCTCCTCGTTCAAAACGACGGCGAGATGCAAGTCTTAAAGCACCGCACGGGGAACTACTTTAACCTACGGCACTATGAGTCAGAAGCTCTCAGTTGATCGTCTTGTGTTTTGGGCCTCATGGGATTGTAATTGCAACTTGCTGGCGTCTAAACTTAAACTGACTAATCTGAGATTGCAACAACGTGTCTTGCATCCAAGAAGATCAAAAGTCTGCCGGAAATACAGAGGACAGAACTGCGACACTACCATAAAAACACCTGTCACTGTTACAAGTCCTTTGGGATGTCTTGGGCATGTTCGAAACAGGAATGGAAGCTTGCCACTGCCTGTCTTGCTCTAGATTTTGGGCAGCAGTGTCCAAAACAGCAGAAACACTGCAACACCCGGCGATTGCAACCTGTTTGCCACATGAGCGGATGTTGCTATCCCCCCATAAACAGCAAAACGTACCACCACTGACAACTCTTTGCGGCATTGCGCTCTTCTACTGCTACTTCCACCACCACTACTACCGCTACCAGTACCACTGCCACTACTGCGACAACAGCAACAGCAACAACCACTACCACTAGCAGCACTACTACTACTACTACTACTACTACTCCTGCTGCTGCTGCTACTACTACTACTACGACTACTACTGCTGCTCTACTTGCAACTACAACGGGTCCCACTGCATGCACAGGAACTTGGAGAGTCGCCAAGAGGAAGCCTGGCGTTTCAAGGCTTACGGCTGGAGGTCCAAAACTTTTGCGGGGTCCAGCGGCACTCTCGGCTAGCATCCAAGCAATTCGATAACCACGAAATGCGAAGCAACGACTCGGCACACATGCTGGGAAAGCAAGCTCTTCTTCAACAGTTCAACGAGGGCCCAGGGTAGGTATCTTGGCTGTGCACGAGGACGTGCTACCTCCTCTTTTCTAAGTCCCCACCTTGGAACTGAGGGGTTCTCTTCATCGGATGCATGTGGTACGAACTCTCTGCTTTCGGCCAGGTGCAAGGAACGCTGGGCTCCGACAGCAGAAACTAAAACTCCAGCCCTTATCACGACAAGAACGCCAGACTTGAGTGCCCCTATTTGCCCCTGAGAGCACTGCTTTCACGGTGTGCCTCCTGGTCAATGACACCGCAATCCACAGGGCCCAGGACCAAGCAGGGCCTTTGCTTCAGCGAGCATGCCCCGAAACTTCAGAGGATGCGCTGCTGATCCAACTGAGAGTCAGTGATGGTGTAGCCTGTGCGGCGAATGCCGACATCAAGAACAAAGAATGCCCGCCAGAAACAAAGTCGGGGCTCCCATCAAGCTGTGCTTCACGCACAGGAAGCTTCAGCTGCGATGCTTGACTTGACAATCCAGTCCGAGCTGCGATGTGCCGACCCGCACTGTATATGTGCTCATGCTGAACCTGGCAACTGTCGGCTCGGACTTGCTTCGAAGCTGAAATAGACACGGTGCGACGATCTAGGTAGCCTTCACATCGTGGCATGCTTCTTGATTCTTGATGCATGTCGGCGCTTCAAGACTTGACTTGCTGGTACATGAGCACCAGGGCAGCTCACGAAGGAGTTTGAGAGCCGAGTCTCGACACGTGAATACTCTCTTTGCTCGCGTTGGCAACATCCGGATCATCGATGTACACCTATGCCAGGGGTGTGATGCAGGACAGCTACTTGGCACATGCCTGTCCCGGCCACTCACGAGCTCTTCGACTGGAGTCAGAAAGGCAGCATCTGCCCTGCCCGCCTTCACGACTCCTTTGTCGTCTGGCTCGGCGGTCAAGTATCTGGTGATTCCTGGTGGTAATGGCACGCGCCAGACACGCATTACGCTTTAACACCAGGTCCCTGCGCTCTGCCGATGACAGAGTGCCAAGTTGAACAGCTGGCGCTCACGAAAGCCAAGGCTCGCTGTTCAGTGAGCTTGGCCTCGAGCTTCAGGCCGCTGGCAACCTTCTGGGGGCTACTGTCCTGCAGAAGGCCCGAAGTGCGTGGCGTCAGCAACGCAAAAGATCATGCAGATCAAGTGTACAGGCTATTCTCGACTTCTGCAACAGCAAAAGTGGAGATGTCATGTTCCATGTGGGTTCGGTGTCCTGCGCAAATTGGCCATCCCATTCTCGCCTCACTGCTGGCAGCTGGTGCGTGGTCGGGGGCTCAGTTTCTCTGCTGAACAATCTGCCATCCCTCTGCTGTTACCATCGTAAAGCTGCCTTCAAGCACCGGAACATGGGCACATGGTTCGCTCAACAAGAACCCGAATTCCCGTGTCCGAGCTTCGTTGGAACCTTGTAAGACAAATCTCCAGCTTCCTGCAGCAGTTGCTGGTCTTCTCGCGTGTCCTTGGCTAGACAGCAACTTTTGACCTTGACACCTGACACCTGCTAGCTTTCGTCTTGAACTGTTGCAGTTTCACGTGTTTTGTCTGGCGCGCCTCTTCATCGAGTTCGGCTTGGAGCTTGGCCTGCTCCTGCACGGAAGGTGCTCGCCGCGCCATGCTGCTCTTACTAAACTCTGAGCTCAGTCAGTGCCTGCTAGGAAGCCTCCGAGAGCCTGCACACGTAATCGGTCAGGACCAGTGGATAGTAGCAAGCCACGCTGCGCAGTGTTGCTGCGACTCGGATCTGCTTTTTGGAATGTGATCTTATAGCCGACCTCGGAATGTTGCTGTTGAATCCTTGACGTGTTCATGGACTGCCTCGGGCCCCGAACCCCAAACCCTGACATGTGGAGGGAACGCGCAGGACCGGGTGGAACGCGTTTTCCATCGTTTTCCAATCTCATCCTAGCTGATGGCTGTAGCTTCCTCAAGTTAACAGGGAATGCCGGAGATGAGACCAAGTGCACCCAGGTCTTTTTAAGGGGAAGTAGGCCCTGCCACTCCAAACCGAGCAGGTGTGCTCTGCATCTGATTTTGGACTGCATCATACTGCATCCGCGTTCTCTGCTTCTGCGTCCTGCTTCCTCTTGTCTTCTTCCTGCTTCTGCATCTGCGTCCGAATCTGGCTGCAGCTGTCCTTGGCCCCAGCAGCATGCAAGGCGTTTCTTCGGAAGTAATGGCTCATCTGGTGCTTGCCCATGCTCGGATCTCCAAGTAGTGTGTAGCTACTCACTGTCTTGCTGAGTCTTGCTGGATTTAGTTTCATCTGGTTTCCCAAGAGCCGCTCGCAAAGCTGAACATGCGGCCGTGGCTCCTTCATCGAAGACATGTTCAGGAAGGACAGGTCGATTACCGGTTCATACCTTGGCACAAATCGAGGCACGAAACCGCTGAAGTTGACCCATACGACCCGGGTCCGGGGCCGGCCACGCTCGTCCAGCGCATAGCCTTCTGAGATCAGCTGCTCAAGTTGCCTCAGGGAGTTGGTTCTACTCAGCTCCATTACTTTTAAACTCACTGCAGCCAGGGAGCAAGCGTGACTCAACCATTTCCTGTACTGAAGAGACAAACAACTTGCACACTTCAGGCCGAAATCTGCGGGAACCACAGCTCCTTGCCCAGCAGCCCGAGCTGCTTACCTTCGTCCAAGACCTGATGTGGCTAAGCAGAGCGTTATAACTAGGAGGGCTCTATCGCTTCGAAAAGCCCTGTACCAGTGCCTTGTCATTCATGATCAGATCCTGGGTCAATATCAGCTCCTTGGTGAGCTCGACCCTCTGTGATGGACGAAGTATAGGGAAGCCAGTCACATGAGGAGCTTTGAACTAGCTGTCGTTGAGGGTCGGGTGTGAGAGCATCCATGATCAGCTTCAAGTCCTTGGCTGGGTCAATTTTGTTGGCTCGGTGGACAAGGGGAAACGTACACGGCCCTGCAGTTCCAGGCTTGCCAATCAGACAAGCGGCATTTGCTGTGCGTACTTTGACGCAAACTACCCCAAAGGAGGAAGCATCCAACATGGTACTTGAGGCTTGTGTCTGTGCGTGTGTGTTGGAAAGCTTCTGGGCACCTGTCAAATGACCGGAGAAAAGTCACAAGTCCTTTTAAGCGACCTTGGTTGTCGTCACCTACTACTTTCCGGGTACGTCAAGGGGAAGCCCACCCCCAGCCAATCCAGGCGTTTGTCATGTCGCACTGAAGAGCCGTTGAGAGCTTGATGAGCAAATGTCTGCACACTGCTGGGCCGGGCTGCAAGAACACCATCGGCATTGCTTCGGCCATGTTGGATAAATCTACTGAGTGACAGCCTGTGCCTGCGGAGAATTGTTTCCATCAGAATCCTCCTCTAGGGATCAGCAATATCTTGACACCCACCTCCATGATGGGCTTGGCTGCCGGTATGAGCTTCTCGTCGGAGGAGGCCGTCTCTCCAACCACCAGGATCTGACCCAACGCTTAGAAGCGCTGGTACTCGGGTTCCAAGATGCAAATGACATTTGACAGGGGTGCTGGCCCGGACGAAAGTTCGTTTACAGCTGCTGGAGCACTGCTGGAGCATCGCTCTGCAGAGGTAGCAAAGACAGCATGATTCTACCTGATCTGGCCCGGACAACATGCGATAACATGCGTTTCGCCTGGCCTGGGATGGCAGCGCCTTCAAGACAAACTCAGCAAAGCGCAGGCCGCGGCTGTTGATGACGTATTTGCCTCGTCTTATTGCAAAGCTTACTGACCACTCGAGCGCCAAGGGGATGGGAGGGGTCCGTGGGTTGGGCAGAGGTTGTAGGTTTTCAAGGGGCTGCCTGGACATGCAACCCATCGGCTGGATGAACATTCGCACCGACAGCTGCATACATGCGAGATGGAGCGTCCCGCTTCTGTGGCTGGGTTCCAAACTGTACTTCTTGGTCCAGTCGACGCCTGCAGAATGGCATGATGATGCAGCTGACTCACTGTGCGACTCGGTGCCCCCGCCGAAAGGGGAGGTGGAGCCAAGTCTATTGGTCTCTGGAAGTTCCAGACCTGAACAGGACTGAGGCGGCCCTCACCTTCGAAAAGGCTGGGGCTTGCACCATGCAATTGGGCTTATGCACGAGATCTGTGCTGCCAAGTGCAGCGCTATGCTCGTTGTTGACGAAGACACGGACGCGACCTCAAGAGTGAGGCCCACACATCTGCAAGGAAACGAGACTTCTACGAAAAGTTACACTCGTCAGGAAATTCTGCAGGGCAATGTGCCTGAGCCCTGGAAGCTGACGACCAGGTTGCCGTTGATGATCCCAAGCCTGTGAAATCCATGAGTGCTGGGACACACGCGAAAGACCTATGGTTCTTCCAAACGATGACTTTCTTGCAGCTACCTGCTGCGATTTTGGATACATTGGGGGCCCGAATGTCGGACAACTCTCATAGCCCTTGGCGCGGGACACGGCAACGTAGCATCGCCGAGAGCCGGGCACGTGAATGTTCCGGATCTCGCCTGCAGGCAGACGGTCTAGTCGCTTACACCTGGAAAGCCCGCGTTCTTTGCAGCTGTGTTTTCCTAAGTTACGAATGTTACTGACAGTCTGCATTGTTCACGCTCCTTCAATGTGGAAAGTATATTCCCGACAGAGCCATGTACACGGGTGTAACGGCCTGTAGGAGCAGGGAGAAACACATGTCATCTTCGGGTTTAGGCTGTGAACCGTGGTGCTGATCTGAGCCAAACATCCAAGCCTGTACAATGTCTTCAGGCCCTGCTACCATCCTTACACACTGCCTCACAATAGCGCGTCAGCCATGACCAATAAGCGTGCAACATCGGGGAGTCAGATGCAGGGAAAGTATGTTGTTGCCTGCTGAGGCTTTACCTTTTTTTGCCACCCGCCTGGCTGAATAATGTCGCACCTTTGCATGAGTAGGTCTACAGGAACCCCCTGGGCCATTCGACTGGTCATGCTCGTGTGAATCAGAAATGAAATTGCAAATACTTCCGCAGGTTGCTCATGTTCCATTAAAATATCGTGGCCTGGCACAAGTGGAACAGGTTTTTGAACAAGCCAAGTAAAGTAAAGCAACATGCAAGCATAGCAAAGTTTTGCGTGACTAGTGACGATGCTCACGGGCTTTCAAGGAATATGTTTGGGATCCCTCTCGAACGGCTGGGATCAGTGCCCGCGGTTACCATAAAGGGTACATGTCACTGGAGAGTGGAGTGTAAGCGTTGTAGCGGTTTGAACAGTTGAAACGGGGACCAGATTTGTTCCCTCTCGCATGTCTGGCAGATTGGGAGATTGGGATTCTACAAGTAGGTCGCATTTTAGCAAGGGTCGGTTACATTGGATCTGTAGGACAGTTTGGCTGAAAGTGCAAAGGTGGGTATGATTTTGCAGCTGGTCAGTTCACAAGCTGAGGCACTGCCCAGTTTAGAGCCCTAAGTGATTTAGATTTGCTGTGGTTGTGAAACATCGAGGGCAGCTGGGAGTTTACACTTCCAACGCCTGCCTCGCATAAGTCGTATAACGGCAGAGTTGGTGCTCTCAAACCACTGGCACTGTGAATGTTTCAATGTCCGTGGCGAATGATAACACTAGGGCATGGCTATTTTTCTTATGCGGACGGTTTCTCCCCTTATGCGACCGGCTTTTCCTTATGCTGACGGTTTCCCCTCTTATGCTCATCTGGCTTCCTCTTATGCTCATCTGGCTTTGTCTTATGCGAACCTGGTTTTTCCTTATGCTGTCTGCCACCCCCTCTATCCTTACGCTTGACTCCGCCCCCCTGACCTCTGCACTGTTCTCCCTGCTCTCCTGCCCTGCCCTTCCCTCTCCTGTGCCAGGCACGAGGGAAAGCAAGCTATCGGGGAAGCCCCATGTACGGGGGTGAGGGATAAAAAAAAATTAAATAAGGATCAAAAAAAATGAATGGCAGTATCAAAAAAATTAAAATAAGGATCAACAAAATAATCATTTAAAATACAGCCATTCCTGGGGCAGAGGCATCAACAAATAATTAAATAAGCATCGAAGAAATACAGCAATTCCTGAATTTTTCCAAGGGGAAACACTATTTTCCTACTGATTCTCTCTTTCATTTCCTTAGGATTTGCTGGGTTTTTGCCTCTGGAAAACACGATTTTCCTGCGGATTGCGTGATATTTCCTTAAGATTCCCTTGGTTTTCCTACGAAAAACACTATTTCCCTATTACCTATGGCGAAGGAAAACATACGTTACCCTGGTTATTCCTCGGGAGAATCAGATTTTCCTTTCTTTTTCGCATTTAGGGCGGATTTCGTGTCGTAATTGTTGCTGGTAGTAGTGTTGTTGCTGTTGTTGATGTTGTCGTTGTGGTTGTAGTATGTTGTAGTCGTAGTTGTAGTAGTAGTAGTAGTAGTAGTAGTAGTAGTAGTAGTAGTAGTAGTAGTAGTAGTAGTAGTAGTAGTAGTAGTAGTAGTAGTAGTAGTAGTAGTAGTAGTAGTAGTAGTAGTAGTAGTAGTAGTAGTAGTAGTAGTAGTAGTAGTAGTAGTAGTAGTAGTAGTAGTAGTAGTAGTAGTAGTAGTAGTAGTAGTAGTAGTAGTAGTAGTAGTAGTAGTAGTAGTAGTAGTAGTAGTAGTAGTAGTAGTAGTAGTAGTAGTAGTAGTAGTAGTAGTAGTAGTAGTAGTCGTAGTCGTAGTCGTACTAGTAGGTTGGCCCATGGATGCTCTGCGGCAATGGATATGGTCTGATCTGGGCGTGATCATGGTTCGCCCATGGATGCTCTGCGGCAATGGATATGGTCTGATCTGGACGTGATCATGGTTGGCCCATGTGGTCTGATCTGGACGTGATCATGGTTGGCCCATGGATGCTCTGCGGCAATGGTTATGGTCTGATCTGGACGTGATCATGGTTGGCCATGGATGCTCTGCGGCAATGGATATGGTCTGATCTGGACGTGATCATGGTTGGCCCATGGATGCTCTGCGGCAAAAGATATGGTCTGATCTGGACGTGGTCATGGTTGGCCCATGGATGCTCTGCGGCAATGGATATGGTCTGATCTGGACGTCATTCGTTTCGAAGTCGCAGTAGACCATGGACGTCATTAGGTCATGGACATGGATGCACTGTTTCGAAGTCGCACTAGACCATGGACGTTATTAGGTCTTGGACATGGATGCGCTGCTGTGGACACGCCGGAACCACCGGTATTTGTGGTGTTTTCGGCAGGTGAACCACGCAAAACACCGCTGTTTCAGGCGCCACTAGAAACGTGGAAAGCGGACACGCCGGAACCACCGCTGACAGTGGTGTTTTCGGCATGTGACCCACGCAAAACACGGCAAATACCGGTGGAATCGGCACATGCGAAACGCGCGTTTACAGGTGGTCCGAGCCAACAACAACAACAGCAATGTGGGGGAGAGGAAAGGGGAGGGGAAGGGGGGAGGGGAGGGGCGAGGGGGGGGGGGAGGGGAGGGGGGGGAGAGGGGAGGTGGGGAGGGGAGGGGACAGCATAACGAAAAGGCAGGTTCGCATAAGAAAAAGCCAGGTGCGCATAGGGAAAAGCCAGGTGGGCATAAAGATAAGCCAGGTGTGCATAAGAAGGGAATCCAGGAGCATAAAAAGAAAAACCATCCGCATAACGCCTGAAACCATGGCCCCGGCATGCCGTGAGGGGGGCGGAGGGGAAGCCCGAAAAAAAGAGCATAAGGAAAAAAACCCTCAGCATAAAAATTAATGCCCAGCCCATAACACTAGGCTTTGGGGCACAATCCGAATTCGTCAAGCCCTGCTCGACTCAACTCTGTGTTTGGTAGAACGTTCATTCCAAAAGCTGAATCATTGGAGGAGTCTGGCACATGAGCATGTGCTCTATGTGTGTGCGTGTGTGTGTATGCCTGCATGCAACTGTGAACATCCATGTATACAAAGAATTAAAGTGCAACTGTTAAATAATGGATGAAGTGTATGTATGTATGTACGTATGAATGTATGCATGCATAAAACACATACACACACATATGCACTCACACACACAGACACATATACATATATACACATATGTACACCCACTCACAAGTACACAAATATCTGTACATGTATACACATCAGCACAGGTACGGTACACCGGTACACCCACCACATTACCGAGGCCATGCCGTGAAGTGACTGCATGGCAGCCACTATATGTACATATATATATATATATATACGTATATATATATATATATATATATACACATATGTGTGTGTGTACACACATGCATGCACATAAAGCACGAAATCCAGGCACATGAGGGAGGTTACATACGTGTATTTATGTATATCTGTCTGTCTGTCTGTATATGTACTATGTACATACCTCATCTTGCTGTCATCAGTTCTCATGGCCGCTTAAACAGAAAAGCAGAATTCCAAAGTGTTGCAACGGCCTGAACTCTTGGCGTGGTGAGCCTCCAGCCACTCGGTCCTGATTCCAAGTGGACCCATGCAATGTGCCATGAAACTTTCATGATCAGGCTACTCGCTTCACGGAGCCAGGGTCGATGTCTCGTGTCCATACGTGTCTTGACTTAGGATGGCGTAGAGGCTTTGTGACATGGGCACGCTGCCACTACCAAAAGCAGAACTGCGTTCGACGAAGACAGCCAGCCTGCCTCGTTCGTGAGCGAGTCCTGTGGAGCAGTTTGGTCAGGGGGACAGGCTCAGTATGTTGCACTTCACCAGACATAAACATGAACATTTCATGACTAATTTCGATCCAGCAGGCACCCACCAACGGCACAACTTTCTTCTCATCTCCAACTCGCCAAGACGAAAAAGAGATTTCCAAGTCCTAGTTTTCGTACTGTAAGCCTGTAATTACTGGGCGAATCGAATTGGCTGAGCTCTCAGCGAGAGCTCCAGTGAAGGGTGTCTGGGAAGCCCTTTCCTTGGTGCCGCAAGCTAACTCTAAGGTCCGAGGACCCGCCCGAAAGCTTGGAGGGCGAAGTGGCGGCTGCACAGCTGACAAAAGGTTCTCTGCCGGCTGCATCAGCTCACTGCTTAAACTGGCCAGTAAAGCTGCTAAAGCAGGCCGAATGCTGCAGGAGCAGTCGGGCTCTTTAGAAAGGCGATGGTGCCACAACCCCCCACAGCTGTGGAGCTGGCGGGGACAAGGTTCGGCTTCGAGGTGGCATAGACGAGGTGTGATAAACATGGCCTGCATGTAAAAGCCCGGTGGCTGAGGAAACCGATTTATTTCAGGCTGCAAGTGAACTTTTGGCTCCCGGCCTTGTGCCAGATGTGACGTGCTCATAATCGAAGGCAAAATAGTCATGATTACGCCTTGGGTCAAGATACAGCTGGATCCTTGTAACTGACTATGCTGCGGGCGAATGCCAGTATTTGTGCACGCACACCGCATCCAGGAACAACCTGTGCCCGACAGGCAGGCCAACAATGCAAACCAATCACACACGCCAGCCGCTAGACAACATCGTAATTTAATGCTGGCAGGCCGCTACCAAGTACTATAACGCTGGTCACATAAACTCCACGCCACCAATTCCTACAAGGCACTTACGAGCCTGACGAGCTACAGAACCATAGAGTCGATATACAAATCCGATGTGCCATCATGCTGAACAGATGGCCAATTCAACCGCCGCGCAGCCCAACCTCGTCATACTGCTTCTGTTTGGTTCGACAGAAACACACCACATCTCTCTGTCTCCCTGTGGCAGACCTGGAAACTCGGCCGGCCAGCGCCTTTGACCCCTTTCGGGGCTCAGCCATAAAAGGAGATGAGCTCTCCATCCTAATTTCTACGGCCACGGGATGTCCACGGGTCACGGCCATTCCGAGGAATCTCCTCAACGTGCTCTAGCACCGTATGTTGAGCATCATATGAAAAACCCGACACCCAAACCTCGTTGGCCCAAGCTACCTGAAACGATTTCTTCACGAATGGAGTCGCTTTGCGAGACCAACAATGCTGCGATTGGCTTGCTGTGCCTGCCGGTAAACTGTGTGCAGCTCTGTGCTCAGTGGGTTCTTGACTCAGAGTGCCGAGCAGCAAAAAAATCCTATCCATCGCACATTCTACACCTGGAGAGATGGATTGGCAGCCCCCGTGACAAAACTGCAAGCACCATGATGCTGGCCTGAGGTTGGTCTGCTCGTGTAATGATATAGCAATTTTGGCCTGGCAGCTCGCGCTGCGGAGCTTAATGCTGTTTGGACATGCAACATGCAACGCAGCGAACAACCTGTTCATGCGAAGTGCTACAGTACCGAACCGGAGGCTGCCGATCGGACATCACATGAAACGGTGAAACGAGCAAACCTGAAGGGGTCAAATGACCAAGGGCTGCTTCACCTGCTTTCGGACGGCAGAGAGTGTGCATGTAGGTAAAGAGATCGTCATGTGCACATGGTACCCATTATGAAAATCTTGCGCCAGTTTCCGTACCATGGAACCAGTCGCCCTTAGCCACGGCGACGTCTCGGGCGACCGCCACCTTCAGCGGGCTTCGTGTCACCTCTGGCAACGGACGCTTTGGGCCTTCTTGGCTTCCGGTCTTCCATGTCTTCCTTGCTTTGTGTTTGAGTTTTCTGCAAATGCGTTGAACGTTTGAGGACGGATGGATCCTCGAAGCTGCCCATGTTTTTCATGATTTGGAACCAAAGGGAGTGCGCTCGAGTGTAGTCTAGACAGTACTGACATCTTCTGACTACAGATTTCTCTGCCGAGGGGCTGTTACCGAAAATGTCCAGCTCGCCGAAAGGATCGGCATGCCTGTCAGGCTGGGTCGTCCTCAGTGCTGCCATCATGTTTCGGAGTGGCTACAGTGCAGTCTTGCTATCGCTTAATACTTGTAGCCTCCGTTTCATAGCAACCTGATAGTTGTTGCGAGTCGCCGAAGCCACACGTGAGAGTTATTTCGTGATCGTGATCGATGGAATGCCGAATCAGCCACGGGGCGTTGCATTCGTCAAGCTTGGCTCCTCTTGATCAGCCGGTGACACCGTCGCTTCTATAGTCCTCGCATCTGTGCCTGCCACCACGACATGTCACGAATGTGCTGCGAGCAGTCTTAGTGTGACCCTGAAGGCTAAACCCGGCTGGCGGCCCTGGCCTGCACGATTGCCGAAATGATCGTTTAGATCACCGAAAGGGTCGACAGGGCGGCTCTGAGGCGTCCTTGGCTCTGCCGCATTCTTGAAGGCCGTAGGGATGCCTTACAGTACTAGACATTACAGTGACAAACTCTGCATGCCTTGATCAAACCCACCATCTTCCGTCCAAATCCGTCTAGTGCATCACTAGCTGCGAAAAGGGCTGAACGAATTCCAGACTAGCATATCCGAAAACACTCAAGCGACTCGTTCGAGGCCGCTGGTGCAGCCGCTGCAGGAACGTTGCCTGGCAAAGCTTTCCCAGCAAGAAACAGCATGTCCCACTTTCACTGAGATAAAGGTACGGGATTGAGGAATTTGTGCCTGCACCGCGATTGCCGAAAAGGTCCAAGTCCCCAAAGGGATCTGCATGCCGTTCGCTGCTCAGAGTCCTGATGTGACTGATGTGGGTGGCCATGTAGTGAGGCACCCAGATCAACTTTGTAGTCAGGTCTGGCTGCAAAAACTCTGCTGCAACTAAGCCGCCCTGGCGCTGGCGCTGGCGCAGCCTGCGCTTGTGGAGGAGAGGCCGTGATCGATGCAGGCCCTGGGAAAAGAAGCATTCGCAGGCACGTTGATGCATCGCAAACATCTTGCAGGCACGTAAAGCTGCTGCAGATCTGGCAACTTTCCATACCTGTCCTCGAAGTGTGAGAACATCCGACTCCAGACGTTTTCTGTATATGACAGATTATGACAGCTTTGGTCCGAGCCTGCGAGGTCTGTATTCGAAGCTTGGGCCTGCGGGCGCAGGCAGCTGCGCGACAGTCGGAATCTTTTGGCACTACGCCGTTGCGGCCTATATATATGTATATATATATATAAGTACATATACATATATATATATATATAAATGAATAAATAAATAAGTTTATATATATATATATATATATATATATTTATAGGCGAGAACCCATCGTGCACCAGTGCAAACTGCCTCCTGGGAGACGCTTCCGCTTGGGGGGGCAGGCTGCGTCGGACTCGGACTTGCCGTGTGGCTCCGAGGCTCCGTGGCGGATTGCGTGGGTTGCGTTTGGGTTTGGGCCTGATGGGGCGCTGCCTGGGAGGTGGACGGGAGAGGCGCTGCTACGCTCTGCAAGGGCGTCTGCGTCCGCTCTGGGCTCGGGCCGCTTGGGCCGCTTGGGCCGCTTGGGCTCGCCTCGGCTGTGGCCTCCCCAAAATGCCAGGGCCTTGGCTGCAGAGAATGCGTATCAGCTCCCAATCCCAAAGGGCAGCTGAGAGGCTGAGGGCTCGTGGCGAGCTCGGCAGGCTCGGCAGGGTGTGCCTGAGGTTGTGGCTCCTTGCAACATGAGCAGGTCGTTGCTGTGTGGGAATGGCAATGGCAAGTCTGCAAGTCTCCTCTGATGGAGCATCGGCGAACAACCTTGTGTCTGCTTGCCGCTGAGGCTGAGGACTCTGCGCCTGGAAATCAGTCACTTTCGAAGACCATGGGCTTTTGACAAAACTTGAGAAGCACAGGCCGGGCAGACGGTTGGTCCGCGCTTTGCCGGAAGGTCCCAAGGACAAAGCAAGGCACTGAGGTGCCGCAGATTCGTGTCTGAAAGGCCTGAGCGGGCTGCGCGAAAAACTCTCTTGGGCTAAATAAAGAGCATGGACCATATGGACCTACGAGTACTAAGTACTTGCTTGCAGGCGTTGACTATGGCAATCAAAGCAGTTGTCGGAGTCCTGTCCTTGATTCCAAACAGGAAACCCTCAAGCATCCTCGTACAGCCTCAAGGCCAAGTTTACTATCGCTTACAAATGCGGCATGAGAGGCTGGCAGCCACCCTTGGCTTGGAGGGCTTGGGTTCAGGCACCGGCGGCGGTGGTGGCCGCGCGCCTCTGTGGGACTCTCGACGTGAATTCTGACGGGTCTCAAGTTCCAGCCAAGGAACATGCAGATCCTCTGAACTCCTTTCGCAAGATGGCAGACGGTGGGACGTAACCGCCGAGTTGTGATAAATTGCCAAGGTGTGTGAACTCTGGGTATCTCTGGGACTTTTTCCATCTGCAGCGGCACTGACAACAGCAACAGATTGAAAGACACACTTTCAGACTTGGAGTCGTCGGATTCCCAGAATTTTCTGAAAGCCGGATCACTGTCAGCTCCCCAGGCTCCTGCATCACTTGAACCCTGCGCTGGTGGGTGCGGAACTCCTCCAAGTCCTTTCCGTTGGGGTCGAAAACAGACTTCACCTCGGACTCGGTGTTTTCAGTTTGTAAAGGCTCCAGCTCAGGTGGCTGTATCTGAGTCGCCCGATGATCGGGCACTACATCCTTTCGGTAGCCTTTGATCTTCGCGGTCGGTCGGCCGTTTCTCGTTTAACTCCCAGACTGCTGAATTCTCCTTTAAGTGCATCCCCCTCGCGGCAGGCTGGAAGACACGTGCAGGATTTCTTCACCGACGGATTTTTTTGACGTTGCACTGGGTTTTGTGTAGACGGGGTCTTTAATGCGCTTTTCCAGCGGCTTACTCTTGTTGCTCGCAATTTTTTGGGCGACGACTTTCATGTATTGATGGGTTGCTCGGCGGATCCTTTTGCGTTACTTTCTCCCTGTCGCTAATGGCCAATCTTAACTTACCAGAGGATATGAAGAAAAGGCCTCTAGCTTGATCTGCAGGGCATCTTCGATATCCCAAACTGTCCAATTCTGAAGCCCCACACCCTCCCTGAACCCTAAAAAACCACATAACCAACTTTAACACTGTACAGTATCCTTCCGGAACCGTTACAAGGAACCCTTTTTGCAATAGGCTTCGCACTCCGCCTGGGGTCGGCTCCCACATCAGTTGTAGCAGCATGACACCGCTCCTCTAGTTACTCTAGTTGAGCCTACCGCAAGGCCCTCCCTCTCCCGAAACCCATCAGACCACCCAAACAAACCGTCTAGCTACTGGTACACCTCGAAACCCAAGCCCGCCCCCGCCACCCCAGACCCATGAGACCCTCCAAAACCCTTCTGATTGGTTCATCGCCTACACCCCAACCGAACCCGCAACACTTATGTACGACTCTGCGTGAGTTCAGAATGAGCCCTTGGCTGCAGCTGAGCTGCTGTCATGATTCGCTTTACCAGCAGCTGGTTTTCCTTCTCAATCAGCGTGTCGCGAGCGTTGGGCTTCCTGCACGGGTGCTTCAAACCATCCTAAACCAATGCACTTGCCCGCAAAAACGCAAACTCGATGTGTTTGATTTCTGGAGAGCCGCGGCAGTCCAACATCTCAGTCCTCATAGACAGCATACAGCTGCCACTTGCCATCAATGTTCGCCCTTGGTTTTTGGTTGCAGGACGGTATAGTCATTCCGATAGAACATGTCAAACCGCACGCTTGACATCCCACGGCCTTTAGTCGAGTTTTGAGAGAGCTCCCTTTACATTGAAGCTCTTTTCAATCGATCGACATCCAAATCGTCAAACTCGAAGTACGTGGTGCAAAGCCGCACATGAAGCAAAGCCGCGCATCATATCGTCGCTCAGGCGATCTCGCCGCAGTGTTCCGGAGCCTTGCTTGAAGCATGGCCGGTTCATGCAATAGTGACGCTGAACTGCAAGAGTGACTGGAGAGAACGGGCAATACAATCCGAAGCTTGTCTAAAGTGCTGAGCAGTCGCTGGAATCGGGCAAACAGTAATTATGGCAGGCCCCTATGTACTTTATGCAGGCGAATGGATCTCCGACCCTGCCTCGGTTGGTCTTGTGAAGACTGCGGTGCGTGTCGCGGACGAAGGTGTCCATCTGGCAGCACAAAAGCAGTCTCTCGACATCATTAAGCATTAAACGAGGATAACGACCAGACACTGAGCATAATCATTCACATCTGCCGGCAACAGCAACAGAACAACGGACTTATGCTTTCTGCCTCGTCTCTGGGCCGGCATCCCCAGGAGAGGTGGTCCCACAACGCTGCAGCTCGAGCCAGCAAACCGTCAACGTGCGGTTTAAGTGTATGCGTGTGAGGGTGTGTGTGTGGGTGTGCGAGGGATGGCCAACCGGGATTGCTGTACGTCTCCACGAAACTTCCGACGTGGATGTAGGATTCTGCTCAGCTTCCACTGTGGCACCGGCAATGGAACAAGGCGATGCAGCTGCACACCGACCTCCCGAAGCCTACAGTCAACCATCCTGTGAGCCCGTGGCAACGGATTTCCCAAGACATCGGACTCCTGCAGCGCAATCTTCATCATCTCAGAGCAGAGCAGCAGTGCCGGCGAGCATACTCCAGCAAGTTGCATGGTTTATTTTTGTTGGTTGAATCGCTCCTCCAATTGATGCACTGAAAGGAAGATACTCGTAAGAGAGCCTCGGGCCCCTCAGGAGTCTTGTGGCCTATCAGTCGGCTGGGATCAGGCTCATCACAGCACTTGCACGTCGCTCCGGCTTTACGTCGGCTGGGAGGTTGAAGACGACGTGAAGTCTCTCAGGCTTTTCAGTTCCACGTCATTTCGTTGCAAGTGCCGTGACGGCAAAGCGGACGTTATCACCGGGCGGATCGTTCCAGGACGAAGTCGGTGAGATCCATGACCCTGTCGAGCCGGCGGGATATCGGGTGAGGGGCGAGTTGATATGAGTTTCGACACCAAAGATTGATTATTTCCAGCTATTCACCGCTGAACAACTGTCTGAGTGATGCTGTAGCAGGCAGCTTGCCTAACATGCTTGCGATTGTTGCTTATGGCTGTGGCTGGGCCTCAGATCGGTCTCATTGTAGTGTGGCATGCAGATCGACGGAGGACTGAGGGCGACCGAGGGCGTGGCGAGGGGAAGTCGAAGATGAGAGTGTGCGGCATGTCTGCCCACAGGAGTCAAGTGTGATTGTAGATGTCACGACGTCTCAAGAAATCTCAAGTGCCAAACGCACAATCCGGTCAGACGCTGAGCGCCAGGCTCGGGCCGGGGAACTCTTTTGAGAGCTCGTCGCGGATAAGCACCTCGACCCAGCTTCGCCGAGCTCTTACACGGCCCCCCCCCACCACGCTCCCCCCACATTGTGACATGAATGAGACACCTTGCTAGTCTGGGAACCGAAGTTCAGCGGTGTGTCTGCAGTCCCTGTTGGGGCAGTGCGTGTCACACTCTAGGAATCCGGCAGCTGTTGTGCTGGTCACTCCATGTGACATGAGGGCAGCTTCCTCGGCGGGCATCATCTCGGACTCAACTGACAAGAGTCAAGTGCGGCGATCATGATCCAACTATGTCCAACTCGCGGACGTCGAGAGAACAACAGTCTCTGACCCAACTGCGCAGTTTCGCTTTTTCTGGCATGCAGTGGCTGCAGAATGGTGACTACAGTCCATAAGAGAAAAGTTTCCGGCATGCGTCTCCGATCCCTTGCATCTGCTGACGGAGTCCCCCTCACCGCTCTGATTAAGTCTCTGTGTGAAACTTTGCCCAAGGCGAAACTGGGGAATCCGTGTAGGTGCATCTCCCACTACAGCAGCAGGATGCCACGACTGGAGCTTGAGGCAAGAATCGAAAGCATCTAAAACCAATACAGGTAGCATGTTGCACTGTCGGTTGCACCATAGACCAAAACCAACTCTAGCTTGTGGCAGCAGCGTTTGCACAAAGACTGGCCTCGCGAAGGCAAGGAGTATGCTAGGCTCTACGATGCAAGTTCCCTGCTACAGGCTGCCGAACTGCCAGTCAGCCAGTCTTTGCCTTCCCCGACGGGCTATCGTGAACAGGCGTGGCAGACCGCTTCTGAAAATGGTCCTTGCTTGTTGTTGTTGTTGTTGTCTAAAACCCAGCCGAGTCTTCTGAAGTTCGAAGAAATCGTTAACAAGCTGCGCGACATATTGTTCATACAATTAAACCACACGGTAATTCCAAAAAACCATGATGCAAATTTATCAGCTAAACCCTTGCAAAATCCTCGACTAGTGACTAGTTGATGTCGCAAAGTTTGCCTGCGCTGCCTTTCCAGACCTTGCACATTGCGGACATGCACGCCGGTAGAATCCTTTTCGCATGAGATTGCGACGTTCACCTTTGTTACCATCTGTCGGGTTTCGAACCGTCCCGAACCGTTCCGATAAAGCCTTCGTGGCCCGCCCCAACGCACGTACGCAGAATCTAGACTAGGAGAACGGAAAAGGCCAGAGGCTCTCTGCAAACAGTCTGGGCCTGGGCCTGGTCCGGTCCTCCTCCTCCGGAGTGTCGATTTTCTGTTGTGCGTGCGTAGCAGTCCCAGGTCAGGGTCAAATGCAGGTCCATTCTGCAGATCCGCAGAGAACTTCTCTGGCCTTTTCTGGCCCGGTGGCTGTTTCGTGCTATCTCCGAGCTGCACTATGCAGGAATCACGTCGCTGCTTGACAGAAGTGCTCGCGGCACGGCAGCATAGTGTCTGAAGTATACAGTCTTCTTGCAGTACTCTGATGCCGCTCTGGTCTTTGCTGCTCTGTTGCCCGGCAGCTCCCGATGTCGCGCGGTTAGAGTGCTATGGTTGCCGCAGCCCCAAGCTGGATGCATTTTCCAGGGAGGCCTCATTCATTGAAATTCTGGCTTTGTTTTACGGTCTTCGAAACACTTGAAATGTCTGATCATGTGGGGAAAGTTTGTCGTGCCTGCAAACACCTGGAGATGATTTTGGGTAACTAAGATGCGCTCAAAGCTCGAAACGCTCACATCACCTCAAATTCAAAAGCGGTCAGTTTTTTCGGATTCGTCCGTTTTTTCCCACAAGTATATTTCTGAAACCTCCCCCCCCCCCGCCCGTTATCCGACTGCAAGAAATCTCATTTCTTAAATCCGCCTCCTTGTGGTCCATGTGCTGTGTACTCGGTGACTCGCACCAGCATACAGCTTCAAGCGGCTCTGCCAGCGATAAAAGGTCTAACTCAAGTTCCAGGACAATTACTCATCAACTTGGTACTCGCGCTGCGACAGCACGTCGCCCGGAGGCTTGCAGAAGGTGGAGTTGATCGATGTTGGCATACATGAAGCACGAAAAAAGAATCCTAGCAGCAGCCATCCGTCATTTATCAGACCTTGCGGATCGGAGGAAGTCTGACAGTCAAGTCAGTAGCCGACCTCAGCCATGTTCCGTGAGTTTGTTGAGTAACCTACTTGCAAGCACAAGCTCTTACCCTCCCTCCCATCACTATCGCATATAGTGAGCTGCCGTGAGGCAAGCCTGACAAGTGGCTTCTGTCGCTTGACGCCTCTCCGTTTGGGCGATGGCGATCTTCGAATGGCAGCTTCCTTATTTGAGGGCAAGCTTGTGGATTCAACTGGGCAAGGAACCTTTCTCCTGTCATGCCCGAAGAGGCTCTTTTGCCTTGTGAAGTAAGCAATTTCGACCCGAATCTCGGAAACACCACCTAACAGGCCAAACAGCCGAGCTTGCTCGCGTCAGCGTAGTTCCCTCAGAAAGGCCAAGGTGAGTAATTATGTGTCCCTTGATTCTATAGATGATGAGGCCAAGGTCATCACGGACCCATTGTGTCAAACGGACAACAAAGACGCGGCTCGATTTTTTGCGCAAGCTTGAATGCTGGGGTCTGGCGGCACGGGTCCCGCTCTTATGGATCCCTACCGTGCCACACAGCAGCTGACTCGGCCCGTGCCTCTTGCTTGTTGCCGGTCTTTGACTTCGGCGTTGGGGAGTCGTTGCTTTTCCCCTGAAGTTCACCGGTTGATGCGCCGAGTCATTGTCGCTCCCTTTTCAAGATCCCGAAATTCTGAGGTTATGGCGGACGGCGAACTTGGGAGGTGCTCTTCCGTCACAGCGAGGATGTGCCTGGAGTGCGCTTCAACATGTAGAATGTAGAAGATCTCAGATCCGGACTGAATGCGTTGTGAGCTATCCGAGCACATGCTATGCAATCCACTCCGAAGCTGCAATATTCTCAAGCACCAAGCACGAAGCTCAACGTTCAATGCAGTCTCTGACCAAACATTGACGGCAGCCCAGCTGCAGCAGAACCGACATGATGCTCAGGTCACCCTGCAGCAGGCATTGGCCAAAGTCAGATTATATAATACGAGAAGATGCACTGTCTTAGTATCTCTCTGCGACTGGCTTCTTCCGGTTCTCGCATCTCCCTGAGCCTTAGCATGTTGACCCAGCAATCTCCAAATCCACGCTCTGAAGTCACAAGCCACAGTCACTAACGCCTGAAGCACTCACCCTCCAGACGCCCCTCCTGTGCGCTGGCAAGTGCCACGCCATGGTCCCGAGCTTCCCGGAGACGGGCCTGGGATTGGGACGTTCAGTGGCACAAAAGCAAAATAGTATAGGCCCTCGGCATATCTACCTGAGCCATAGATGGCAGGTGGTGTGCGGTGAGAGGCATTGGGGTGCAGGAGCCAGGGAGAATTGGACATGACAATCGCTCACCGAGTTATCAGCACGCATCACTGTCACAGCTGTGCGACTGAATCGCCACGTAATCGCAATTTCCTCACAAGCCCCTTGCACCTCTCATGTTTTTCTGAAAGTTACAGCCGCTCAGCCGTGACGACGAAACATGGCTTGCTCGGCTGGTAGGCAACAGCAAGCTTCAATTCTGCTGCCGAAGATCCCCCAAGGCAATGCCATTGTGCAGGAAAGTCTTTCCCTCAGCCTTGGAACTTGGCTTTGAGCTCTGATGCCTTGACGAGTCTTCCTTCCTAGCTCTGGCATGGCCACGGACTTCCGTGTGCAAATCGTTGTTTAATTTATTGCCCAAACGCTGTCTCCCAGTCACTGATGGAATCGATCAGCTTGTCCCGGAGCTCGGGATATTGACGCACGAAACCTAAGTGTTCGTGAGGCCAAGTACGACCCTCCCGAAGTCTATTGCAGGGCATGCATTGGTATGGAACCTTCTCGAACAAATCTCCTGTCTGCAACTCTCCAACCTCATCAACCACAACAGCTGTGTTTGAGACTTTGAGAAGACCAATTTATCTGAAAGTGCTGTCCGGTTGCGCCGTCGGAATTTCCTAAGCAGCTGGATGGTCAGGAGCAAGCACCAAGTTCTACAACGCTATGCAATGGTGGAGACCAGTTGCTGCGATACTGCAAAACCTGATGGAGGCAGAAAAACTCTTTCAATCACCAAGTGCTAGCTCGGTCTCTCCTCTTCGAGGAAGTGCTTTGAATTCCCAACCCAACGTCCTGAGCAAGGAACAAACAAATATGTGTATCTCTTGACACTTGTACGGGAATAACCTTGTTGAACCTGCACTTCTGTACGGGTGTCCTGTGCCTGCCTGCGCTTGGCGTTCGAAGCACTCACCGGCGACGACCAATGCCCGGAGTTCCTCTCGCTGGCCGAGGATGACCTCATTGTAGCTGAGCAGTCCAGGGGCTATGCAGCCTTTAGTTAACGGATCGGTAAGCCTCCAGACTGCCTTGCCCATGAAACTGTCACATCAGCCGGGGATCATCTATTGATTCTGCGTAGTCCTGCATGCGCCTCAGCTCCTCTCCGGCAGTTTGCAGCTCGAAAATTCACCCGAAAGATTCCTTGTTCTTCTATCAGACAGGCATTATGCAGCGAGGCCGATGGCATTAATCGGAAAACGCTTGGTGCTATGTTCCCCAATTCCTTCGAATCAAACACCCGACATCGTCAGATCCCAAAAATGAAAAATTCGTCGCAACTGCATCACGGAGATAGCGGCTGCCCAGGTGGATTTGCGGCGCACTTCTATTTCGCATATTTGACAATATCACAATATGTTTATGGCATTTTTGGCACTTTCCTCATGGACCCCTGTCCCGACAATGCAACTGTCCTGGCCCTGGTCCTGGCTCCTGGCCCCGGCGCAAAAAGACACAATTGCCAAACGCATTTGGTTTGCATTTATCGGCGTTTCTGCCACTGAGAACGCCTCGCTATTCTAAAGGGGTTGGTGCTCATAAGCTTAACCTGCGACAGCGCAGAAGTCCACACCCATTCCACACCCGTGGCCAGTCACAAAACTCCAACACTCCTCCCAATGTCCGAGAAGTGTGGCCCTGCCAGGACCTTAGTCACTTCGAGCGAACTGCACACCACAGCACGGCACGCGCCACGCAACCGCCGCAGACTTCTGCTGCTGACGCCTCACGCCGTCACTGGCCCTGTAATACTTTATTTCCAGCGTACACGCCCTATTTTGCCATAGTGTTTTGGGGCTGTGTTAGCCGAGAACTAGCCGGAGCATGTTGAAAAATAAAAAATTCGAAGGGGAGAGTCCTCAAATCGGTCACGCTCAAACCTCCTGCAGAACCAGACTCTAATATCAACGACAAGAGACGTCTTTCTGCACTCGTCAATCGGTGCTGAAAGCAACCACAATGAACCCTGAACTCAGCTCCACAAGCCCGAAAATTCGAGCACTCCGAGTCCTTCTCCAGGAGCTTCTTCCTCTGGTCAGCTGTCAAAGCCTCCTCAACACATGCGAAGACGTCGTTCAGCTCCTGCACATCACCTTGACAACAATCTCCGTCCATTACAATCAACTGAGAAAGCTTACACCGATAAGAGGATGATTGCAACATGTCAATGAGCAGCCTACGTCTAAGCATTAAGTGGCAAGCGCAGCAACCAAGAAGTAGAAGTAGCAGTAGCATTAGCAGAATGAGTAGGAGAAGTAGTAGTAGTAGTAATAATAATAGTAGTAGTAGTAATAGTATTCATTCAACACGCAGCGGAGTTCGGTCCACCTAGCGAGAAGCACGGACTCATGCCGGAGCTCTCAGGGAGCTCAGTACTGTGCCCTTAAGCCGCAGCACTTGCGTTGCAACTGATATGCGACTTATGCGCAATATCTCTAAACGTTAACAATCGGCGTCATCGCACTACAGTCAGATGTTATGGTGGCCAGCACTGACCTGGCCAGGGCACCGACGCAGTGCCACAATGCAAGGTCTTGCATCTGCATCAAGGAGCTGTGACAATGCTGGAGCAAAAGGCAGTATGGAATCCTCAGGCATTTTCCGATGCACTGAGTCGTATCCGCAGCGATCGCCAGATGCAGAGCACAGTATGATGGAGCGAACCTCGTACAGACAGGCATATGCTGGACCATCCAGGGGTTGGATGCAAAGAGGGCAGGCCTCCCCGTCGCTATCGAACCATGCCACATCCGTCTCACCATGTAGCTCAAACAGTAGCCTGACAGTGTAGGCATATGCATATAGAGTGTGAGGTGCCTGCCGGAGGACAGGCCTGTGCGAGTGAGCACCCCATTCTCGCAAGCAGCCTACAGTGGAGGGAGGCGTGTCTCGCTTAACGATCTGCATGGGTAAAATCATAGGAGCCTCCACTGGTGGAAGGTTGCTCAACCCGGTATCCGCATACCACTCCCAAAGTCCTGTTGGAGGGGCATCAGAGAGCTGTTGCAGCAGGTATTGGAGTTGATTGCACAAGGGTGGGCCCCGCACGGCAGTAGGTATGCCCCCGGCCACGGATGACCAAAGAAGATCGCCTCTCAAAGATATTGGGGTACTACTGTTCTTATTAACCCTATGCCAGAGATGCTTAAGCAGACCATGCTCAGACTCGGACCTGGAATCACGATTCCAGAAGGGCCATAAGAGGCACTGCATAATCTGAGAGAGTCCTTCCACCTGGTCTCGAACAGTCCATTGGGAGAGGTCGGGCATTATGGTGGTAGGGTGGGGCTTAGGAGGAACAGTCGATCTGGCCTGAGACGAGTTGCAGGCCAGCTGTCCTACCATCCTCGTAGAGCTCTTGCTTGCTGAGAAAGGCCTCCGCTCCCTTCGAAGTCTGCAACCCATTGTATGCAGCGCTGCGCAACCGATCCAAGAATGAAGGAGTTCCCAAACCCGATTCCCCGTGTCCCTGGTACTGATCTCGATGGCAAGCTGAACCCACGCTGTCTGTGGTGCTTTCGATAAGCCTCGAAGAGATTGAAAGCGAAACAGATTCTCCTCCGTGATTTAACTTCCGTAGTTCCACCGTCTGCCCAATGAGATCTTCGGTCTTGTGTAGGCGTCCGCCCGGCTGTTCCTGTAGGTCCTGGATGGCCGGGTTCCATGTTAGCGTCTTCCACAGACCCTGGTCCGTGAGCCAGCCAAGGTCCTTCGCCTGTTTCAGGGAATCGTGCTGATTCTCCATTGTAGCCTTGAGCCGTTGGCCGAGCTCTATCAGGAACGCTTTCATCATCACCAGGCGGAGTGATTCGGTCGTGGATGAGGGGTCTGTCTGGTTCACCTTGTGCCATTTGTCCGAAGTGGCAAAAAGGATCGGGATCAGACCCTCGTCCCCCGGCTTCACGAAGAGGTACAGCGTGTGGTCCTGCATGATGCTGTTGATGGCATATTCGTGCTTGATAGCCATCGAGGAAAGCTTCTGAACTAGGTCCGGCAGATTGTAGTCCTGGGTCCACGACGGACCCCATCCGTTTGATCCAGAGGTCCAGTGGTCCTGGCTCCAACCCGGCTGTTGCCGGTTCCGTGACAGGCCGTGGCCCTTGCCCTGTGCCTTGCCCTTGTTCTTGCCCTTGCCTTTGCCCTTGGGCGGGGATGTCGTCCAGGTCCAGGTCGAGGGAGCGCCCCCTGGGGCTTGCATGGCCTCGTCCGTCCGGGCGCGCTTTTCCGCAGGGAGTAGCAGTAGGAGTAGTAGCAGCAGTAGTAGTTGTAGTGGTACTAGGAGGAGGAGCAAAAAATTGCGAGTAGCAACAACAAATATCAATAGTACAGTATTAGTACCAGTAGTCACGGTAATGGTGCTAAGAAACTAGTAGGCAGTACTAGAACTGGTACTCGCAATAGTAGCTGTAGTAAGAATAGATAGAGAAGATTCAAAATGACGGTACATGGTAATTGTAATAATTCGTAACAATGCTGTTCAGCAATTGTCAAGCAATGGTACTGGCGATGAAGAACTGCACTTCAACAGCATTCACGTTATAAATAGTACTGATAGTGATTACAACAGTCGCACGGCTTTGCTTAAAACGAGTAATAGTAGGAGTACAGCTACTAGTAGTAGTAGTAGTAGTAGTAGTAGTCGTCGTCGTCGTAGTAGTGGTAATAGTAATAGCAATAGTAATAGTAACAGTAACAGTAGCAGTAGCAGTAACAGTAACAGTAACAGTAACAATAACAGTAACAGTGACAGTAATAGTAATAGTAATAGTAATAGTAATAGTCATAGTCATAGTCATAGTCATAGCAATAGCAATAGCAATAGCAGTAGTAATAGGAATAGGAATAGGAATAGGAATAGGAATAGGAGTAATAGGAGTAATAGTAGTAGTAGTAGTAGTAGTCGTAGTAGTAGTAGTAGTAGTAGTAGTAGTAGTGGTGGTAGTGGTAATAGTGGTAGTAGCAATAGCAGTAGCAGTAGCAGTAGCAGTAGCAGTAGCAGTAGCAGTAGCAGTCGTCGTAGTAGTGGTAATAGTAACAGTAATAGTAATAGTAATAGTAATAGTAATAGTAATAGTAATAGTAATAGTAATAGTAATAGTAATAGTAATAGTAATAGTAATAGTAATAGTAATAGTAATAGTAATAGTAATAGTAATAGTAATAGTAATAGTAATAGTAATAGTAATAGTAATAGTAATAGTAATAGTAATAGTAATAGTAATAGTAATAGTAATAGTAGTATAGTAATAGTAATAGTAATAGTAATAGTAATAGTAATAGTAATAGTAATAGTAATAGTAATAGTAATAGTAATAGTAATAGTAATAGTAATAATAGTAATAAGTAATAGTAATAGTAATAGTAATAGTAATAGTAATAATAATAGTAATAGTAATAGTAATAGTAATAGTAATAGTAATAGTAATAGTAATAGTACTAGTAATAGTAATAGTAATAGTAATTGAAGGACAGGTCTTACCGCAGTAGAAGCCGAAGGCTCGTCCATTGCAGCCTGAACCTACTTGAAATCTTTTGCACGCAACGCAACATGTATGCACTTCGAGATCTAAGTTGTGCAATTGGTGATCTCACTGCAGACAGTTCAGTACACATCGTGATTTGTGCACGATCTTCGGCTGTGCTCACTTTACATGGCCAAGGGGTGTTTGTTCCGCAGCCTTCCCCTTAAACCAACGCAACAGCCGTAACAAGAGCTCGCAAACAACTGCACGCGGCATGCGACCTCAATCGCTGCTTCTGGCTTTTCCTACTCCTCCTTGGCCTCGACGTCAGTCGGAGGGCACACGTGAGCTCTGTCCAGAAACTCGAAGAGTAGTATTGAAAACTCTCTCATACTCCTGCGCTCTCTCAAGGTCACGGCCATAGTCCGGTGTCTTGTCAGGATCATCTGCTGCTCTGTTGCTGCAAAACTGACACAGTCTGCGGTGCCGCACTCGATCCTGAGTTCCACGATGCCGGAAGGCGTAGCAATCCTCGTACACGTGAAAGCATTCATTGTCAGGCACCACAAACACTTGCTCCGGTGGCTCATGAACATAGCGCAAGATCACTCTCGTTCCAGGAGCTTGCACAGGCGAGAATGCTGCCGTCTGAACAGCGGCATCTACCTGCTCTTTTGTCCCACGCGCCAATCTTCGCAGCAGATTCATCCTTTCCTCTGCATTCGGATCCTGACCACGCGGGGGATCGCTCCTCGATCGTCTGGATTCCTCACCTGGTTGCGAAGCCTGCTGCTCTGCAGGAGTTCGGCGAGCGTCTCGAGCGCGCCGCTCGGGACCCGTCCCTAGCCTTACAGAAACTTCCCTCTGGATCGCCTCGGACGTAGCATCCCTTAGCCGCTGCAGCCTTCTCAAACGCCTTGCACTTGCACCCGGTGATGCCCTATCGTAGACAATCCAAGCAATCCACTTCAAAGCTTCCCAAGACATAACAGCCAGCAACACCAAAAGCCACAGTAGCATCCAGGTTAGCAAGCCATAGTCGACCGACACGCTGCTACCATAAGCTACTATTCCATACTCATCAGTAACACGCTCACCAGAAACTGCTTGCGCCAGCACCAGTAAAGCTACTAACACTTTAGGGATGGGGCTAGGGGTGTGACTGCTGCTGCTGCTTGGAATGCTGGTGCGAACTTCACCCTGAACTTCCTCCGAATCGTTGCCACCAGGTAGACGCGGGTCCTCAATCAAACCGATAAGGCCACTCAACGCCTTCATTCTCGCTGAAGACAATGGCTTGGTCAAAAGATCCGCCGGTTGGACTTCTCCACTGCAATGGTTGAACTCCACAGTCCCTTTGGCAATAAGTTCACCAATCCAGGAACTCTTCAACCGCAGATGTCTGGTCCTCCAGCTGCAGGATCCCCTTGCAATCGCCAAGGCTGAAGTGCTATCAGAGTGCATTTGAAGCTGAAGCGAAGTCACCCCAATATCATGTAACAGAGCTTGAACTCCTTGCAGCGCCACAAGGCCCTCTACTGCTGCTTCTAGCTCTGCTTCTGCTGTACTCAAACTGATGCAAGACTGCCTCGACGATCTCCATGCGATCACGTTCCCGGCTAACAACACAATCCAACCCGTGTGTGACCGACTAGCATCTGGGGCAAACGACGCGTCCACGAACCCGGTCAAATAAGGAACGCCACCTTCATATAGCAGCTGACGTCCTATGGTCCTCTGAAGGTATCCCAGGGTCTTCTCCCCGATTTCCACAGCACGCCTTGGAGCCCGTGTTGCAAGCGATCCCACCAACGAGCATACAAAAGCAATGTCCGGCCTAGTCCGTTGGCTGATCCACAACAACTCCCCGGCGATCTGTTGAGCTGCACGGATCTCGGCCTCATTGGCAGGCGCCTCGTCCTCTGCCGCAACGAAGCTTGCCAGCTCTTTAGCCACAGGAACTAAATCCTTGCGCTTCGGGGTCATCTCATGGATTCGCAGAAGCTCCTCGATGTAGGCTCTCTGGGACAACGCGAAACCCTGGCTAGTGAGCGAGATTTCAATGCCCAGGAACCTGATCTCACCATCTGTTGCAAGCTGAAGTGGACTCGTCCTCCATACCGCCTTGATAGCGGCAGCCAACTCCTTGATGAGCTCAGTCCTCCCGCATAGAAGAAGGTCGTCTACATACACGACAAGGATGCCAATCAGCACTGAGCCATCCTGTAGTATCGACCACCACGACGGCTCCACACGCCCTTGCATCAGGGTCACTCGCTTTCCATCGAACACCAACTGGATTTGCGCCAGCAAAGTGTCTCGGTAAGCGCCCCAAAGCTTCGGACTCTCTTGTAGGCCGTAAACTGCATGGGTCAACTTCCACAACTCGCCTGGCTTCGCTAACCCAGCTCTCACAAGCACCTTGGGTGGCACTCCATAGACTAGCGGCGCCCCCTTCACTGCTCGCAAAGGGGTCTGCAAGAAAGCCGCCACGATGTCAATCGCCCCAAGATTCCAGTTGAAGAAACGAGCCAATGCTATAGCTGCTCTAACCACTTCCGCAGGGGCAGTGCTCGCGAACACCTCAGACGGGCTATGCGTCGCCATGTTCCCACAGATAACAATGCGCGATTTGCGCTTGAAAAGCTCTGCGGGCGCCTCCTCCTCGGTCGGAGGGTCTGGTGGCTTGATCGTGTACACGACCTTCATAGGAATCAACTGTCCCCTTCCGGAGTTCAAGTCGTCTCGAACTTGAGAATCGTCACCCATCACCTTTTCCACTGCGTGGTCTAGCGTGTTAACCTCCTTCTTCAAAGACGGGATCCACTTCTCAAACACAGCAAGCACGTCCTTCGGATTCACCGTGTACACTGCGGAAACAGGGGAGCTTAAGTTCGCTAAGATCTCCTCGATGCCATCAGTGTAGGTGACCTCCGCCTTCCGAAGAGATGGGCTCGCACTGCGACTCGAAGACAAAGCTGCTGTGCTTACCGGCTCATTGGTATCATCCAACACCAAATGCATCTCCCAGTCCTCCCACTGCTCTTCACGGGCGACGGTGTGCTCGCATTGTTGTCCGCCTCCAGGAGGAGCAAGTGAGCCATGATCACTCACCGGCTTTGATGCTATTGACAAGTCGCACTTGAACAGGTAGTCGCCATCTGACGTGGGTATTGTTTCCTGCCAGCCTCCTCCTCGAAGGGGCCGTGCTTCCCGTTCAATTTCTTTTTCCGGCTTCACCGAAGACACCGACAATGCGTTGATGAAGATTTCAGCCGGATGATCTTCGTCCACCAAGGGCAACGGAAAACTTAGAGCCCACAACAATTCCCGGTCCAGTCGTGTAAGTGAGGACAATAAGGCAGGAGTGTAGCGCCCACAATGACGATGCGCTCACCTTTCCAAGGCATTACAGCATGACGGCGGTGAGGGTCGAAGGAAAACACTCTCCCTTCTTGCAATGGAAATGCGCATCCATATCTGGCCCGTCCTTCTCCGGAAACCAACTCAATCACCTTTCCAGAGACCACGTCGCCATCGCGCAGCTCCATCCATAGCTCCCCTCCTCGTCTCGGCATGCTTATCGGGAGCAAGTGATTCATAGCCCCAAGAGCATTGTTGCGATCAATGTGCACCTCGCGCTCGTTATTGATGGACACAAAGACTGCGGCGTACTCCGCATCAGGGGCTCTCTCCAACATCACCCGATTCAAAACTCGAGCAAGCCACGGCCTCTCCACAGTGGACTTGGTCACGCCAATTCGTCCTCCATGACGGAACATTCCATAGACTCGCTCGTCATCAGGAAGTAGACGCGCAACATCCCGAACCAGGGTTTCCGCTGCATCCAAACTCCAGTTCTGCTCTAGAGTCTCTGCCCTCTGCCGAAACTCTGCTTCATCAATCACCTGAGCTTTGGAAACTGCAACAACATCCCCGGATCCAGAAGCCTTTCCTCGCACACGACGCTCAGGAGGCTCAGGTAGATCCGCGTGGACTTCCTCGTCGGGGGGTCCTGGATCGTGTAAGCCAGCTCGGACATGCAACGTGTGTACAAAGCGCTCTCCTTCACTGTCATTCACGTACACCAAGTGGCCCTTGCTAAGACTATCAGAAAGTCCCACATATACTCCTGAAAGCCATCTTGGTGCCAGATCATCTAGCTTTGGTCCATCCAAATGACGCTTACGAACCAGCACTTTGGAACCGTACGGGGCTGCAAGCTTCGGCTCAAACCCAAGAACGTCGCCCCTTTGCATTGACGCTGCCGCGCTGATAGCCGACGGCCATAGTCGTTGCGGTAGTCCTGCAGATAGCAGTAACGTCCTCGCCCTTTGCTTCAGCCATCTTATTGTTGATTCCGCTGTTCCATTGGTCTGGTGGACCCCGGCCTCCGAAGTAGTCACTCGGATGCCCTCTCCCTTGAGCCATTGCTTCGTCGCTCTGGCCCGAAACTCCATTCCTCTATCGGTATGGAATCGAAGCACTGGTATATTCAGCGCTCGGCAATAGAGGATCACGTCCTGAATGGCCTCCAGGACAGTGGGCGCTTTGTCGTCCTTCAGACCGCACGCGAAGATGAGGTTCACAAGCTCGGGGCCACCAAGGTCACTGTCCTCATCGGGATCTCGCCTCGGCACCTCTTTGAGCTCAGGTTCACAATCTTCACCTCCATCCGCTGGTGGATCTTCTGGAACACGAGCTCCAACGCCATCTTCAACAGGAGCCAACCCATCATCTTGCTCCTCATAGTCCTCCTTGCTCACTTCACCAGGATCATATTCAAGCCAAACACCTCGACCATCTTCCACGAAGGACTTCGGCACCCGCAACTTTGCAGCGAAGATGTACTTGAAAGGACGGGGAAAGGCTCCTCGTCCATCTGGGTCAACACCGCCCACCTTCACCACGCCAGACAAATCAGCCGACAGTACAAAGGCTGATGGGTGTTCAACCCTTGAGTGGCGTCGGCCTGTGCCGCCTGCCTGAACACATACAGAGCAGTCCGCTCGGAAAGGAAGATGTCCCCGTCGTACATGGTCAC